TGGAGCCTGCCTACAGCTTGGGAGCAAACCCAGACCTGTCTGTCACTGGCAGGAGGGGAATGCCACAAGCGCTTCAGTTCTGCCCGTGTCATTCTGCTTTGGTAGTGGCAGGCAGGCTTTAAACAGATCCCCTGCCTGCGAGAAAGGGACTGAGAAAAAGGCAGAGAAACTTGCTTTAACTTTGCTAAAAATCTGTTTCAGTGTCTCTGTTCTATTAGCAGGATGTCTGTGTTTTTCTTACTTTGTTTTCTCCTCTTATACACACGATTATTTTCCCACTTGTAGGCTTTATGGATTTGGGGTGAGAAAGCAGAAAGGTGTAATTTCCATTACTTACCTTCCCTTCGTTAAGGAACCTTTCCCTCTGTCAGGTCATCCCAAGCAGATAGAAAGTTGTATAGGATTGAAAAGCCCCTTTCATAGACTGAAAGGTGCACACACTTTTTCTGTAGTCCAAGCCCATCTTGGGCTGAGTGCTTGTGCACACATCTTATTTGCTTGTGTGTCCTGTCCTCGTGCCCTTAGTGAAATTCTGAGAAACAAAAAAGTGGGTGAATTGGCAAGCTCCATCAGACACAGTGTTGCAGTTAAGTCTTCAGAGACTTAGTAGCAGCCACAGCTCTGACTGTAAAACTTATCTTTCTGCTTCATCTCGAAATGGGCAGGTCAAGAGACCGCCCAAGTCAGTGCCTTTGGTGTTACATATACTGCAGACTATTCTCTGAAAAGCTTCCTGATATTTTCTCAGTGTAAGAAAGACGACAGAAAACTACACACACTTGAGCTGTGCTGGGCACTGGTCTTTCACAGATTCTCTTTGCAGCCTTTACCTCTTTAGTGAGGGACAGAACTTGCTAAGTGAGACAGAAAATAATTCTAGATTTCTTGGTACTGGGAGGCACCTGATCACCTGAAATACGCTGGTTCTGGAGGCACGGAAGAGGAAACAAAAAATGTAAATTGTGTGTTACATTTTTGTTTAACAGGTACTAGAGAAGGAATGGCTAGGGCAGTGAGTTTCTAGAAGGAAGAAGGGCATTTTATCTTAAATATTAAGCTGTTGTTGCTTAACTGGATTTGACTTATATATTTTCCCATTTTTGCCCAGGATTTTGAATAGCTTATAGAATCATAGTTCACTTCATTCTCAGTTTCCAAATTCTATATGCTACTACTTGGTTTAAGTGCTATGGGCAGCCTTTTTTTGTTCCACTTCCTCTGACACAGAATTTTGATACCACGTTAATCTGTTAGCCCTTAGCAAACACTTAGGCTATTAAACCCGAACCAGCAAACATTTAAACAGTAATAGCTAAATTAGCTTGTTACTGGTTTCTTATGTCATTAATAACCCTACTTGTCACGATAGCTTTTGCTGGGATCAGTTCAATTTTACATATTTTTCTCCAGAAGGCAGGATAGCTTATAAAAAACCACAAAACCTAAGCATTTGCATTCCTTAGGCTGCAAAATTGGAGGCCTGTGATTTTGTATCGAGGTATGTTGCACTGCACTGGCAATGTGAACTAAACTGTCATGCTTTTGGTTGATCATTTTCAGGGGGTTTTTGTCTCTTCTTAGAGAATTAAGTGGATTTCGTGCCTGTGGAGCAGAGAAACCACACACACACACACACACACACGCACCTGTGTGAGGATGCACTTTTCCCCTGCCCCAAAATGCTTTCACAGAACTTGTTCAGGGTTATGTTTTCTCCTTGCTTTCCCACTTCAGACCAGACTGTAAACGCAGGGAGCTGTTAAATACCCCTCATACTCTGCCCTGTGGGGCAAGCACCACACATCCTCTCAGAAGTCTGCTTGTAGTGTTTGTGGGGTGTGTGAGAACAGACCTAATGCTGCCTGTGGGTGTAGAAACTCGTAGTGACTGGAAATAGCTTTGAAGCTTGAACTCCTCCTTGCAAGTGTTTGGGAAGCAGTTTCCTTTGGCACCTTTCAGCTGTGGGAAAGGCAGGGTTATTTCTGGAGCTGAGCTGGTGTGAGGCAGCTGTTGCACGAGTGCTGTGTGTGCAGTGCTTTGCCATCCTTGGCTAAGCAGCTTCCTGTCGGGACCACTGATCCGTGTAACAGCGCTGTCTGCGGCAGAAGTGGTTGGGCTTTGTGCCATCCTGTGTGTCCAAACCTACTTCCAAGTGTGATTTTGAGAAAGCTGCACTTGGATAGCTTAAACTGAGGGGGAGGTGAGGTGGTGGCACAATTAACTGTAATTAATTATTCGATTTTGCTGTCATCGTGGGTAAATTTTGCTTTCGCAGTGCAGTTTTACAGGCTTTATTTTTGGGATCATTTTTTGGCCTAGGCATCAGCTGAGGAAGGAGAAGACGTCAGTCCCATAATTGCATCTATTGTGAGCCTGCTACAGTGGAAAAATTAGGATTACTTGCAACAGGTTTTGCAGATAAAGCTGCTGACAATTTCCTCCAGGGATCCTAAGGTGCTGTTACAGTAGATGTAGTTAGTGGCTCTTAATGCTCTTGGGGCTGGGGGCTTCAGCTCAGGACCAGTGGAATACTTTTTTACTTGCTAGTGACTGGTTGGGAGGTTGTATGTCATAAAAAAAAAAAATCAAGATTACTGGGGAGGGAAGGGAGACACGGGGAGGGATCATGAAAAGGGTGTAGAAAAGGGAAGAAAGTAAAAATAATGGGCACATGGAAATTTTCTGTGTAGCAGCAAATAGCCTGTATGACTTCCATGGATAGGACCTATGCCTTCTAAATTGCTAGACCTTGTTTGAAATGGGGAGGGGGGCTTGTGATGTCTGTGTGGCATTTGGGAGCTCTGTATTTGATATACCTTCATTAAAGCAAAAAGGTGTTGAAAAGGTACCTGAAACTTTCTAACTTGGAAGACAAAGGCCTAAAATATTTGGTCAGTTTTAATAACAGGTGGAGCTGGAAGGTGATTTTTAAGGGTTCTGGGGTTGGGATATGTTATGTAGATAAGTGTTTGTTCATGAAACCAAATTACTCAGAGTAGTTAAAACTAAAGCTTATAACTAGGAGCTTTGCTAAAGGGAATCTGTTATTTAGACTAAGGCAAGTCACTTTTTATTGATAAAAGCAGTGGAATCTACATGGTGGGTGGGAATGGGATATCTAAACAAAGCAAATATCTGTGATTATTTTAAAATCTGTCACAGAAGAAACCTGCTAGCATACTAGTGATTAAGAAAGATACAGCTAATGTGAGAAATCACTAGTAGAGACTCATACAACAGAAGAGCAAACATGTTAATGGTGTCTTCAGATTTTGACTAATGGTGTTTTTTCTTTCATTCATCTCAATGTGTAATAGAACAATACTGGGTGTGTAAACAGTGATGGTAAAAATAATGAACAGCACCTGTAGCTTAAAAGCAGAATGGTTTAACACATCCCAGTTGTACTGGGAGGATCTGGTGGAACCTCTCCAAGGTGGTTGGGGTGCTGAAGCAAATCCAGAACATGGAGAGGCTGAGTGCATGTGTTCCTTCAGTTTTGGGAGGAGGAGGAGGAGGGCAGGGTTTTTCTGTGCTCTGTGATCTGATAGGGAGGTTTAACAATGGAGGAGGCAGAGTCATCTCAGCCCTGCAGCTGCCAAGGATGAGAGACAAGAGACAGAAGTTGCAGCACTGGAAATTCTGATGAGATGTTGGGAAACTTCCCCCCTCCCCCAGAACAAGGTTAGTCAGCAATTGAGAAGATTGTTCAGAGGTAGCAGAAATCCCGGCCTTTGAACACACCCCTTAACAACTCCACTGGACAAGACCACAGGCAAGCTGATCTCACTCGTTCCTGTTTAAGCAAATTTGACCACCTGGTCTTTGAGGTTCTGTCAGTGATGAGTTGTTCTGTAATTCTGTGGCTTTGTGGAAGAGAAAAACTTAAAAGGCCCTCATGGCAACTGAGCAGATGAACAAGATAAAAAAAGTGTATTTAGTGAGGAAGAACGTCCTTCTCCATACTTTTTGCTTATACAGGGAAGAGAGCATAATCTCTGCAAGCTTTTTCTGATGTGTTGGGTGCTTGTCTCTGTATCTGCTGGGGTGCAGAGCAGAAAGGCTGATGGAAGTGACCTCTGCTGGCCGCAGATTGCTGATTCTGGCTTCTCTGGAAACGTTTGGCAAAAGCAAAACAAACTGTTAGTGTAGACCATGCACGCGAGGGACGCTGTGCTGGGGCCGTGTGGGAGTGCCTTAAACCCTGTGTAGAACTGAAGTGCTGTATTCTTTTTTAAGACTATAGTATTGGCAGGGAATGCTGGACTCCATATATTCAGGCTTTTCCATTCCTCCCTTTTGTTCCCAGTGAGCAGAAGTTACACTGTTGAGTAACATTAGCTGTTTCCTAACTGTAGATTACTAATAAAGCAACGAACCACAATAAATAATAAATTTGTGCAAGGTTTTCTTTCCAACCTATCTAAATACATCTGAAACAAAAGAGCTACAGTTTCTATTTTCTCTATTAACATGCAGAAATACAAACTTTGATTTAGTTTTGGGGGTTTTTTTTTGTCTTGCAGCATAAGCAGCACTATCATGGACGTAGGCAGCACAAAATACCTAGTCTTTCAATTTGCTGTGATAACATGCAGCAAACACAAACTTTGATTTCGTTTTGGGGGTTTTTTTTTGTCTTGCAGCATAAGCAGCACTATCATGGACGTAGACAGCACAAAATACCTACAATTTCAATTTGCTCTGTTAACATGCACCAAACACAAACTTTGATTTAGTTTTGGGTTTTTTTTTTGTCTTGCAGCATAAGCAGCACTATCATGGACATAGACAGCACAAAATACCTACAATTTCAATTTGCTCTGTTAACATGCACCAAACACAAACTTTGATTTAGTTTTGGGGTTTTTTTCTCTTGCAGCATAAGCAGCACTATCATGGACGTAGACAGCACAAAATACCTACAATTTCAATTTGCTCTGTTAGCATGCACCAAACACAAACTTTGATTTAGTTTTGGGATTTTTTTTCTCTTGCAGCATAAGCAGCACTATCATGGACGTAGACAGCACAATTTCCAGTGGGCGTTCCACGCCAGTGATGATGAATGGACAGGGAGTTCCTGCCTCCTCTGCCAAAAGCATTGCCTACAACTGCTGTTGGGATCACTGCCACGCCTGCTTCAGCTCCAGCCCGGACTTGGCGGATCACATTCGCTCCATACACGTGGATGGGCAGCGAGGAGGGGTTGGTGTTACCTTTGGGTTTTCCTTCTTTCTTATTTGCCAATAGTTTGCGCCAAAATTTTGTGTTTCAAAATTCCTTTTTTTCTAGCTAGTGGCAGAAAAGTTACTAGCCTAACTGTAAGAATGTAGTCAGTTCTTTTCAATAAATTGAGACTGCCAGGGTTTTGATAGTGTGGTGACTTCTCAATATCCTGAAGCTGCTGATGTGTCTTGAAGTGCTTACACTTGGAATTCATTTTCTTAAAACTCTTTAGTGTACGTGTTCCTGCTTGTGAACTCAGGTGAAGTCACATCTTAATTACTGTTACCAAAGGAGTCTCACTACAGGTAAAATCTATCCAGAATGTACAGTAGGGAAGATGTAAGACTGACTCAAGAGTACAAAGTCTTAACAAAACAGCTCTGTGTGCATTACTGATGGCAAGTTTGCCTTCCATATAATTGCATCTAATTTTTTTTAAATTGAGTTGCATGTATAAATATGTAAATGCCAGTCTAATCCCTGGTCAAATGATAATTGGTCTCAATTTTAATGTTTAAAAACATCTTCTAGTAGAGTAATTTCAACTTTGTACTTATCTACCTCCCATCTTCAAGCTCCCAAATTACCTCTGATGTCTGGAATATATCATGTAAACTACCTTTACATCCAGCACAAGCAACCTGCCTGTTTTAGGCACTGTGTGTTGCAGCTCTTCAATTTCTGGGGGAGATAACAACTATTCTACTTAGAGAACTGATATTATCTTTTGACTTTTTGCCTTGTCAGTTCTTCAGAAAGAAAATGTTAGGCTGTTGCACTTTATCTTCAGTGAATAAGAAACTTAAATAAAATGCTAATTTGAATTCCTTTAAATAATTTATTATGTAAATATGTCACTGAGACAGCTGTGACTCTGGCTGTATTTTGGTAATATTTTTTGCCATGATTGAACTTTTCAGCTTCGTATTTGATGGCTTTTTTCAGTCCAGTATCTGAGCAGAATCATCCATCCAGTGGAGTGGCTTTTTAGCCACCCGTGAGATGATTTCTGAGTTCTGGCCACAGGTGTATAAAGGTGTTGCATGAAACCTGCACGAAACAATGAAATGAATAAGGTGTGTTTGGGTCTTTGCTAGAGCATCCATGACTCCTTTACATTTCTTAAAAAGAGGCTGGAAGATTGTGCAGATTTTAGTTTGGGGTTTTTTTTTTCCCTGTATTTTCTTTCTTGTCACTTACATTTCATGTGACATGATTTGTGAATATTTTTATTTAGAAAACATTGGACTGTATTTGTGTATTTGAAAGAGGAGGTTGTTGGAAGCACCAAGTGTCTTAATGACTGTTGCATTGAGTTCACATTTTTGAATGCCTCTACTGGGGTTGATTTTTTGGGAAGCTCCAAGGCAGTGCTGTGGAAGGGGGATATATCCTGGTGGGTTTGTTTCAGGGATTTGTCTGCCACCTGCCGGTGAGGTGTTCAAGTCTGTTGGAAATTGTCTCACGCTTTTGATGGGATTTCAGACCTTTCTTAACTGCAGTGCCTCTAAATTTGAAGAAAAGTGAGGGTTAAGTAATTGCTTATTGAGAATGGAAAGGAATAGGATAAATATCTTTGCATGGTAAAATGTACTTTTCCCAGCTAATACTGAGGGCATGGCTCCAGTCCAAACCAGATACATCCATTAAGAGCCTGGGAAACTTTTTAACAAAACAGTTTTGCTTTTGAAAGATGTTATTTCAGAAATATTTTGGGTTCAGCTTTTTGACAGGGGTTCCCAAGAAGCCTTGTATAGACTTCTGGCATGTGGTTGCAAACCCAGGTCCTGTGTTTCCCCTGACTGTAAGTTCCCAGTAGCACCTTTGCCAAGTGCCCTGCAGGAAATGCCAGCTCACTTATGGAGCTGTTGCAGAGCCAGAAATCTCAGAAATTCCAGTTCTGTGGCTTTGAGGGGATCTCAGAACTGAGGAGTGACAGACCCCAAAGGTTTGGGGGCTTGGGCCTTGTGTCAGTGGGTCTGGATCAGTCCCAGACACTGAGGGATTTCCAGCTTTGTCTGAGAAAAGCTGGGTTATGGATCTATTGTACAGCAAGAACGTAGAACTCCCGTGGCTGCTTTTTCAGTTTGAAAATAAAATCTTTTGAAGGTTGAGGGGGTTTTATTGTCCAAAAGAGAACAAGAAACTGAAATCCAATTAGTTTCCTGCATTTCTGAAAACCTGTGTTATGAACAGTGCTGTTCCTGGGAACTTTCTTTTGCTGTGACAAATTAGGGCTTTACCTCCCTTCACCCACAGACCTGTTGAGGAAATTCTAATGAAAAGCAAGTTCATTGAGCTTTTTATTCCCTCAGTTACAGATAAACACAATGAGAAGAGAGAGAAAAGCAGCATGAGTGAGTTCTGCTCCCCTTAATGCACTATTGTGCATGTGATTGTTCTGTACACTGGAATCACAAAACACCCATAGATTTTGAGTCCTATGAGAAATGGTAGCTTCCTTCATCAGGAGTTGAATGTAAGGCCCTAACTAGAAGTATCTGGTATTCCAGAATACAAAACTCCAGTATATAGACTGCACTGCAATTAAGAGTTTTTACTTTTTCATGCTCAAGGACTAAATTAATTGCTAATGAGAGCAAATAATTGTATTTCTATTACTGCTACTCAGAAAATGCAAATTTTTCATTTAAAAATGTTCTGACTCCATATCTGGTGGATACAGATACTGAGTGCAAACACAAATGCAGCAGACCCTGTTGCTCTTGATTGTGTTTATCTGCAGGAGCATCTGTTTGTTGGTATTTTCTTCCAGTGACCTGATCTTATTGAATACTTGGGGTTGTAATTATTTTTTCCTCGGTGAGATATGAGAAATGTGTTTCAAAATAAATGGTTATTGTTCAGAATTCTTTGAAGTGTTGTGAGATGTTGTAAAAACAACCTTCTTTGCTAATGTGCTTTTTATTTACTGTTCTCTCTGACTTGTGTAAACTTACCACGTTTTTACTCTATTAGGTGTTTGTTTGCTTGTGGAAAGGTTGCAAAGTATATAATACACCTTCAACAAGTCAAAGTTGGTTGCAGAGGCATATGCTGACACACAGTGGGGACAAACCTTTCAAGGTAAGGCTCATTGTAACATACATTATCTCTCATTTTTAGAAAAATTCTCTTTATTTTTCCTAATACAATATGTCAGTTGAAAAATACCATCACTGGAGTGAGCTGAAGAAAAGTGAGCTGAGCTTTCTTCTGTGCAGTAATAGTGCCCAAAGGTCTTGTTCTTTTACAAAAGCAGGTGAAGAAACTTACTGCTTCTCTATCCCTGTTTCTTTTAATCTATAAATGGCAGGGAGTGTAAAAGTAAATAGTGCTAAAGTTCAGGGAGTTTGTGCATTTTGAGGCTGAGCTGCTTGCACTTTAACAGTGAGATATTTTCTCTCATACTTTACACTTCCACAATGAGTTTTGGATCATGGCTGGTGGTGCACATTCCTGCTTGAGTAAGAGCTGCTTTTATTAAATTCAGTAGAAACACTGGCAGTGAGTATTTATGGTTCATTCTCTGAACAGAATAAGGAAGTCAGGAATGCAGGACCATTGACCTGAGTGTATTTCCTGCACAGTATTTTCTAACTTTCTCTTTCTTTCTCCCCTTAATCTGTACCTGCAATTCTAGGTATAGTAGTGTTTATCATTCCCATATCCACCAATCCGTTATTAATGAGTTGCTTCATCCTCTTATGGATACAGTTGGGGCAGTTCATAGCTGTCAGTCCTGGATCACTTGATGGTAAGTCCCACCCACACTACTTCAGACTGAAGTTCTTCCATGTAGGATATGAAAATGAAATAGGATTTGGGGTTTTTTTTTGAGTTTAGGTAGCAATTTATGCCTCCTTCTCTCCCACCCCTAACCTCACCAAGTTTTAGTCCCTGTCTTCCCTCTCTTCTGTTTCTTCTCAGGTAATATCTTCCACTTGTAAAAAAATTTAAGGCAGCTTTATTACTCAAAATATTTTTACAAGGGTTTCTTTCTGTAGTTACATTTTCTATATAGGTTTTAATAATAATTATGACAGAAAACAAAACTAAATTAAACTCAAAACCAAGAGAGTAAAAATAGTGCATTGCATGTGAAAAAAATTTTTTACCAAACAGATTTTTTCCATACTGAACTGTGTAGTTTAGACTGAAAATTTCTGACTCAAAGTAACCACAGGAAAATGAGTTTTAAGATTATCATACCCCGTGTTTGAAGGAATGAATTTGGCATGCTCATGGAATGATAAGCATCATAGATCCCTGCAAGTTTGCAGATGTGGTTGTTCCAGGAACTGACCTAATCTTAAATCATCATCTCTGATTATTATTATTATTATTAATAATAATAGTGGTAGTAGTAGCAGGAGTAGTAGTAAAGAAAGCAACCACCACTTATCAGAGGAAACTTGTACCTTAGGTTTTCTCTATTTTTGAATGAAATATTTTGTCTACCTCAAAGTATAATGGCAAGCTTTGTTCTTGGATGAAAGTCTTTTAATAGCTTAATCTGTGTTCTTATTTGGTCTAGATCAAAGAAACTCAATTGTAAAGACATTGGGTTGGAGAGGTGGGCATAGCTCAGAAACAGCTGAGTACTTCTGAGTCTGTCAGCCTTACCTAGCAAAGGCAGTTGGTACCTGAGTTTTTTTGGCTAGGCTGGTTACAGCTAGAGCCCTAAAACTGTCAACAGTTGTTTCTGATAATAATCATCTTGTGTTCACTATCTGTTGTTTCACCAGCTGATTTTCCTGTACTTTCTGCTCCTACTGAGGGAGAGAACAAAGCACTCAAGGGTTGCAGTAGTTAATCATCCTGCCTCAATGTGTGTCACTGCAGCATTTTTTCATACTGTTGTCTTGAGTCCCTCTGTTTGTTTTTTATCCCTGTATTTCTCAATCTGTTCCTGGGAGCTTTGAATGGAGGATAATTGTGGTCTGAGTAGAATTTTGTAACATCTTTTGTTCCCCTGTCATTTATGCTGAAATAAGCTTCAGGGCTCACATGAGGTAGCCAAGTATGTGAGTGTCTGTAATGGCAATCTATTAATTAACTGGCTCCTTTCCTTCATTTGCTGCTTCTTTTTTTTATGTTAACTTAGAAATCTACTCTCTGAGACGAAAAACACTTGAAGTGTTGGATATTAGTCTTGACCAGTCCAAGAACAGCCTTTTATTAATTGTTTTGTGGCAGCCAGTCAAAAATGGAGCCAATGTGTCCATTTTGTGCATTTAGCTTGTCTCATAAATCTTAATTGCTCACCTTTCAGGGAAAGCCAGATTTTTTTGAAGTCAGAGTTAGTTTAAAGACTTGTTCTTGATAATTACTGCAGACAAAATATCTCCCAAAACCTAAATTGCAAATGAAACTTCAGTTGCCTCATGAGAATATACTTGAATCGTAACATAAAAGGAAGGAATCTGTCATTTTAGAAAACTTGCAGAAAGTAATCCTTCAGTGTTTTGGTTAAAAAATAATGTTGGGATTTTTGAGGAAAGCTGTAAGAAGCAGTAGTGGAAATAATACAGCTCTATGCTGTTGTCTGAAGAACTGGTATTTAGAATGTTTAAAAGAAAAGCAAAGAATCTTAGCTAGGAAAATGACAATTAACAGTGTGGAAATCTTACTTTTGGAAAGGTAAATCAGTGACCAGAAGAGAATAATAAGTATATCACAGATTAATATATTAGTACATTTCTAGTGAAAAGAAGAGAGAAATGTAGTTTCTTAAACTGAGAAGCTTTGGGGACTGCTTCAAATGTAACTCCCTTTTGCACAGAAGGATATATCCCTGTCCAGCTGCCCTTTTGCTTGCAAACGGGCTCATTTTATGTAGTTGCACATTTTGGGTTTAATTATCTCTTTTTGTGATACACATGGGGTTGTCCTTTTAGTCAAAGCTCCATTCAGCTCTAAATGAGCTGTTCTGCTTTCCCATTGAAAGGTCTTTGTTGGTTTTACCTGCCCTTTCCATTCATTCCTGTCAGCCATGTGACTGGGCAGTTCATTTGTCACAGAAATGACCCCACTTCTAAATTGCAAAGGCAAAATGGTTCATATTTTCATAAGTTTATCCTTTTTTTTTCCTGATTGTGTGGCTTAGTGTGTCCCTCTCATCATGAATATTGCAGTACCTGTCACAGAAAAGGTAAATTTCCTTACAGATACCTATTTTTGAGACTGTTGTTATGCTAGCTCCTTTTGTCTGTGGGGCAATACCTTGGTAGTGTACATCCAGCTCCTCTCGGAGTCATTTCCTTCACAGTCTGATTTTAGCTAGTCCTTTTCATATTTTTTCCCCATTGTAGACATTCATTGAATGTAGGTATTCTTTCCAAAGACATTTAGTATGCTCATCTTTGTGTATGATTTTACAGACAGAGTTGAGAGAGTAAACCCTCAACATTATTCTTTTTTAGATCTCTTACTGCACAATTTTGCAGCTTCTTAGAAACCACTGGAATATTGTGGATTATCAGCAGCGTGCAGGGCTGCTCCTGTTGAGGGTTCAGCAACTTGGCTCTCAGACCTTATAGAAAGGATGTAAAGGAATAATCTGCTTAGTCAGAAAACATTCAACAAACTGCCCTTGGCAAGTTGAAAAGAAGTGATTATTAAGATATTCCATCTTCCTTGTCCTAAACTTAGCTGTTACAAGTAATAAGTATTGGAATAGTTAAAGGAGTTGAGACAACCTGCCTTTTCCAGCATGGTTTCTGGTGTAGGGGCAAAATTAAATTAATCAAGTATTACTTGGCACTGAAGGTTCCTTGAAGACACATCAAATGAGCTCTTAGATGTTGAGCACAATGAAAGAGCACGAAATAGTGGGAGATTTAATGCAAAATAACTGCATAAAATAAAAACAAAGTAAAATAATAAAGTAGTAATAATTTCATATAGCATTAGGATTGTGGCTGATGGTCTCAAAGGTCTCTTCCAATCTAAATGAATCTATAAGGATGCACGTGGGAGTTCTTGCAGCTGCTTCCACCCATGGATTCTTTGGATATGCTCTTCATGTTCAAGAGCAGTCATGCAAGCTTTGCTCCTGTGGGGTAAATGTTTCTAGTAACAGCAAATGGTAGCACACAGCTTCATTGCAAGCTTCTCCTTAAAATGGGGGAAGAAAGTAGTATTAAAAATGAAGTTTGGTGCTCCCTGTAACTTCCAGAATTCATGAAGGAGTGACTGCATTTGATACAGCCCTCAGCAGGGTAATGCTTGGTGAAATGTAGAAAACACAGGTGAGCAGCTCCAGTCTTCCTTGGCAATTCATGTCTGTTACTCTCTTGGCAGAATAGTTTCTGTCCATTAGAGCATTGCAGATAAAAAATGTAAAGGCACTCTGCCCAACCACTATGTTGAGACAATAAGAAAGTTTATTCAGATGTCTAAGCTATTTCTGTTAGATTTACTAGAAGAAATTACAGTATGTTGAATAACCCAAATAGGAGATTTGGTTATTTTGAATTTAGAACAAAAACCTGCATTGCTGGGTACTTTTATATCCTGTTTGTTAAATTCACTGGTCATTTCTGCCCATGAATAATGGTGGGTATGGGTACACTGGAGAAATTAAACTTCTTACATGTTTACGTACTTTCTCTTGAAGTAACATATCCACCAATCCGGACCCAATCTGTTGTACTTGAAATTCAAAGCAAAATTTTGAGATTTAGGTTTTGGGGGAAAAATGACAAGATTGGTTCAAAGTTGTACATAATAGTTGAGTTTGATTTATTAGAAGCCCTCTAGAGCTATGTAATTATCTGGTGGGAAGCTGATTTGGTGTGACTTACCGTCCAGAGATCCTGAAGTGACAGCCTGAACTGCTCCTTTATCTTTGGAGAGAAGAGACTTTACCCATTAGTAACGGATTGCTGGATATATTATTTTAGAGAAAAAAAAAAGAACAAACAGGTAAGATTTTTTCATTCTCCTCTTCTACTATTTCCTGTCTACTGCAAAGGCATTCTCTGTCATCTTTGATCAATCAGATGTTGATTATTTGAAGATATTATCAGGTAGTCTCAAAGTACACAAAATCTGAATGTAATAATTTCTACAAATATTTTGTACTGTGGCTGTAGACTATTAATACACCTTCTGGAAAAATACAATTTCTATTTGCAAATAGCAGATATTGAGGATCTAAGGATGTTGGTTTGGGGATTTTGAAAGTAAAAGTTGGGTAGAGCAAGAAAAGTTAGGGGTAGCTTCTGTAGATAATCCATATAGAATATTTGGGATTGTTTGTACATGACAAAAAAAAGTTATGACATCATGAGTCAACCTGCAGCTTGTCATAAAACAATGTTTCCCATCTGACAAGAAGTACAGTTATGGTTTGAAAACTTCTAGAAAAGTGCCTGGCACATAGTTTGTGCTTTTTTCCCAAAGGTGTTGCCTTTTTGTTGCCTTTGGAATATGGTAATGCATGCACTGTACCATGGCTTTAAGTTATTTTTGATCTCTAGCAGGCATTGGTAAAACTAAAGTTTTGATTTCCAGTGTGACTGAATTTCAAGATATGGGCTGGTTTTGAGCTAATTTTTTTTTTTCTGACAATGTTTGTATGATCAGAAAGAGCTGGAATCTGAAGTCAGGAGCGCATTAATTAAAGTTAATCCTAAATTAAAAATTGTGGCTTAGTTTTGTGAAGCTGCTTTTATGGGCAAGATAGCTATTTCAAGGACAAAAAAAAAAAAGGGAGAGCAAAAAAATGCTAAAACTGATGCACACATGCATTTTACATGTATCTGTTAATTGTGAGTCAAATAATGACTTGTTTTTCATAAAAACAAGTGGTTTGGGTTTAAGGTCAGGTTGAGAGGTTTAGCAATCTAATTTGGGGGATGCTGGCCCACAGCAGTTGGCTTGGAACTGAATGACTTTTAAAGGACCCTTCCAACCCAAACCACCCTGTGATTCTGTAAGTGTAAATGTTAATGTTCAGTATGAATTTAGAGTAAGGAAAATTGTGTTGGAGTTGCCGTAGTGTAATGAGATCACACACATCATTAATGAGTGTTGGGACTCACAGCTGTGCTGGGATTGCTTCCATTGCCAGTCACTAGGAGTAGACAATATTGCTGTTGTTTGAACATGGGAAACCTTAAGGCAAGGTAAAAAAGCATAGGGAGGATTTTGGAAGAAATCTTCACAATTCTTAAGATGCTTATTAGTGGGGGAGAGAGGGAGGAACAAATACAATTCCTCAAGTTTTTGTCAGGGAATTTTACATTTGAGTTAGTTCATTACTTAGAGAACTTTCTCTAACTCCCTCTAGGAATTCTTCCCTTCAAAAAAACACAACAAACACACAAAAAAAAGTTAAAACATCCATTCATTTTTTGCCTTTACTGTCTTGAAATCTGTGTACATATTTTTAGTCCTATAGCAAGTATTAAGCACAGGTTTTTCTCTGTGGACACTGTATTTTACTACTGATCATGGAAAACCAATTGCTAAGTCTGGGGCAGAAATAGGCTTCTCAGTTCTGGGACCACTGTTGAAAACAACACAGTTGGGATTTAGGGGCAAAAAGTGGGACATACGGAGTTCTAAAGCTATTATGGATACACAACTAATTGAACTAATTGCAGCCAGTGATGAAATGCATATTCTAAAATTATTTTTCTATTACCCATGTAAGCTCAGAGCACAATAGAAAAGGGTTGTGCTTCCCTCTCCAATGGTGTAACTTATTTCTTTTGCAAATGAAATAATTGTAAATATGAATCAGATACTTATAAAAATACCAATAATTGTAGCCAGTACAAGCTTAGTTGCTGCTGTCATTGTTTGTGTAATTCTGCTTGATTATTGTTGGATCTTATTTTTCTGTTGAGAGAGGACATTTCCTTTAAATGGGAACTGCCTTAAATGGTCCTGAAGTAATAGCAGCATCCCCAAATAAATGTATAAATAATTGTTACTACAACTTTACTGAGTTAGTTTTAGACAGAACTGTAAGGCAGCTGTTCATTGGCTTTTTATGGTGTTTACACAGAGCGTTAAGCTGTTTCAAATTTCTTGTGGGTAAGGATGTATTTGTTACTTCTGCCTTGTCACAAGAAAGGACGATGTTAGAGGATGTTACTGTTACCAGATGGGAGAGCTTTGGAGAGCTCTTGAAACAGTAACAGTGTTTTGAAAGGCAGGGGAATGTTCATCTATGAAGGGAAATTTGCCTGTGCATTGTTTGAGATTATTTTTATGCTATACAATATAAAATATAGTATGGCATAAAAAAAAAAAACTGTATCATGAAATAATTATTGAGAGTTAAAAACTTCAAACAAATGCATTTCAGAAAATGTTTTTGTTTTTCTTTTTAAGAATTGCATGGTCATTAAGAATTTGGTTTTGCTTTAGTGTGTTGGAAGTTGAGGCAGAAAAGTCTGAGCACCAAGGTGTCTGAAGCTGCTGTGCCTCACAGGCACTGATGCAGTTGTTCTGTTTTCTCTCACTAGTGTGTGGTTGGTGGGTGCAACGCCAGCTTTGCATCTCAGGGAGGACTTGCCCGTCATGTGCCCACACACTTCAGCCAGCAGAACTCTTCAAAAGTTGCCAGCCAGCCAAAGGCCAAAGAGGAATCTCCATCTAAAGCTGGAATGAATAAAAGAAGAAAATTGAAGAACAAGAGACGGCGATCACTACGTAAGTGTTTCGCAGGAGTTCTTGAAAGGTTTGTCTTGGAATGAAAGTTCCTCCTCACTCTGGTGGTTTCTCTGCATATTTGAATCTGGTGGGGTTGAAATTCCTTGTCATGGGAAGAAAACAATTCCAGATTCTGTTTGTGTTCCTTTTCAGGGTAAATCTCTGCGTGTCAAGGAAAAAAGATCAGTTTCCTGTGAGCAACGATTGGAGTTGCCAATTGAAAGAAGCTTTTCATTTCAGAGTTGCTTTTTGTTTACTGACTATTACTGTTGGAAGGGGTTCTGTTTAGTGCTAATGAGATCTGAAGTTCAGACAGAGATTGCAGATTCATATAAATTAGAGATAAATGCATGTTATATAAGCTCTTTTTTGAGCACAACATTTCATTATGTTAATGACAGTTTTATGAGCATAACCAAGATCTAATTTTGGGCAGAATTGACTTGCTATGTTTTTTTAATCTGTCTCCATATAGTTGATGTTCATTAATTTTATATGAACCAATGTGCTGAGGGGTGTGATTTGTCATTTAAAGTGAGAACTGTTTCCTCTAGCAAGAAATAAGCACCTACCCAGTACCTTTTCTAGTCCCTATCTAGTCATTTTCTAGTCCATTTCTAGTCATTGGTAGTCCCAAACTACCATCTGGTAGTTTGATTCCTGAGTTGTCCTAGCATTAGACTAACAAAACATCAAATTTCTATGGAGATTCTAATCTACAGAAATAGTTAGGAAAGATTAGGCAACTGTTAAAATATTTCATTTTGGGCTATAAGTGCTTTGGATGCAACTCTTCAGTACCAAACTGATCATTTGCTGATATTGAATTGTTACTCTGCCACCTGCATTTTAGAAGAGACATTAAAAAACCCCTTTACATTTTTTTTTCTGCTGGTATGTCAACAGCTGAAGAAAAAACTACATGTATTTTTACTTGTGGTGCAAAATCCATCTCACAGTATTGGAAAGTAGCACAAGATACTTTTTTTATGAACCATGGGACATCTTAAATCTCATTCTGTTCAGAGTTTTATTTCTCCACAACTCTTCTGTAGCAGAACATGTAACTGTACCCATCTCTCCCTTCCTGTGAAGGAATAGTTACCAGTTATTCAAATGGTACTGCAACAATGGATTCACATACTGGTGGTCTTGGGTGATTTCTCTTTGTCACACAATTGGGATTTGGTCTTAATGCCTCACCTGTGTTTTAAGGAACTTTATGGAAATTTATGGAGCAGTGGTCTGCCTTGCATGCAGACAAGCATGTCCTGGGAAAAGTTACATTATCCTCTGGAATTCTGAAAAGTTTTCCTTCTTATTATTCTTAAAAAATATATGAGCAAATTGTATTGTGAAACGCATCTTAAAAGTAGAGATTTCAAGAATTCCTCTGGTTTTGGTTCAAAATTTAGAGAAATTAGAAAACTTTTTCTGTCCTTTTCAGAATTTGATTTTCAAAGAGCTTTCCCTTTCGGTTTGGGAATCTGGGTAAATGGGAAGGTTGCAGAAGGGAAGGCTGATCAGTGAAGGGTTAGGGGCTCACTTTGCAGTATCTTTTTGCATGTTAGATGTAATGAGAGAGACATCTTGAGATAATTGCAGGTTCCTAAAGGATCATCATGATTTGTTGAGTGTTACTCAAAATATAAATGTCTGAGAGCGGTCACTTGAAAATTCTCATTTTCGGAAGTTCCTGAGTTGCATGTTAGCTTGCTTCTCCATACTGATTTTGTTAGGTGGCTGATGTAATGCATCTTAATTAATTTGCTCCCCCACTATATACAGGAGTAGTTTTTCAGGTTAGCATTTTATTAGTAATTGATAAACATCATATTGTGTTATTTGACTTACAAATTTCAAATCAGAGCTTCATTAATTAAAGCTTCAAATCACCTGTTAATTTGCTTTAGTTGTAATAAGAATTTGCTGCAGAAGTTCTGAATGAATTTGTGGCAAAAAATGGAAATAATAAAAATTGTGGGAATATTAAAGACCAGACTGCAGTATTTGAATGGTCTGCTGTCTTGATCAAGTGTTGCACAGGAAGAAAAATGACAGCTGCTTGAGCAATTTCTTATCTTCTTGCCTCTTGAGACAAATGCAGTGCTGGCTGTAGACTTTTGCCTTAAGGCAGAAATCATCTCTAACTGAACTGGGAACTGACTACTGTAATGTATTTCTCTAGAGGGTCTGTGACCCAGAAATGTATCCAAAGTTGATGGCATTTTCTGACTGAGTATTGGCAGCTTTCCTTTCAAACTTTGGGTGGAGTATTGTTGGTGAAGTGAACATGACAAAGGGCTGAGACAGTCTTGCTTGTATTTCTGTTTCTTAGCTTGGTTTTAGTTAAAGAATGAAGTGTGCAAGTTTGTGTGTTCTGTCTTTACAAGAAGAATGGGGGAAGACAAAACCCTTATCTAAGAAGCCAAAATAACACAATTAACATCATTAAGTATTTTCAGTTTGGAGTATATAACTCTAAATACCTAAGAAGGATTTATATTTAGATATTTTTAAGTGCCCAGAAGGAGAGTTGTTTAACACATGTAACCAGGCTCTCTGCAAGTTCTCTTCTCTTACAAGGGCTTAATGATATGGATGTGAAACAAAATGCCATTTAATAGTGGACAATCTGTTTAATCAATCACTTGCACATAATAATGTGACAAAAGCTGGAAGTTTTTCAGCACAAAACAATTTGTCTGAAAAAAAAAATCTTGTCAGTATGTTCTTTCTACCTCATGGTATTATTAGACCCTGGCTTTTTTTAAAGGTGTAAGTGGATTACTAAATATTGGCCAATATATACTGTTACTGAAGCACTCTCATGTATAAATTCTTAATAGTTTAAGTACAGCTAATTTATACTTTTGCTTCCTCTTTTCGTATCTGAAGGTAACACCTTTTTGGGAGAGAATGTAAAATGAAAAAGGAGATTTTACTGTGGCTATATGTGATGAGACTACAATCTTCTGATACTTTTTAAAGATAATTTCTACTATTACTTAATTGCCTTTTTAAAGATCTTGCCGTTTTAAAGTATTTTACTTTTCTTTTGTCCTGTCTTATGTTTTTATGTTCTTCCAAGTTTGAAAATCAGCCTTTTATCATAAAGCTTGTTTTACTGGTGACACCCCTTTAACTGGTCACATTCATAGTGCTGTAGAGATATTATTTATCCTAGGAATTTTGATGTAGAATAATTCAGGATTGGAGTCTGTGGCTTGCTTTCTCTTCTGGGTGGCCTTTACATGTTCCCTCAGTCGTGCAGAGTGGCTTTTAGAATCAAATCTGTTGGAAGTGTGTACCTCTAAAACAGGTCACGGTATTGCTGTTCCGAAGCTGCCTTGACCACAATATTGCCACTTGCTTTTTCATTGCAAAGATGACACTGTAGTTATTAACAAGCATGACAGTCAAGTTCACAGGAGGAATATAAGAGAGATAAGGCAGCTTACTGTCCCTGAAATTTGCTGTAAGACTCTGTTACTTATGGAGGGCTTGGATTTTCATTTGGTGGGTTACCCAGTTGATGATGTAATTTGACTGAAGGAACTGCTGAATACTTGGAACTTGCATTATTAAGCATGAAGGAAGATATTTAAATCCATTTCCTCAAAATCATTTTGGGGTAAAGGTGCATAGAAAATACTAACACTTAAGAATAATTTAAATATTCATACACTTTGGAAAAATTGTGCCCTTTCTTCTCAGTCTGCTGAATGTTTTCCACTGTAAATCCTGGAGAAATTTGTTGCATAAACCTGAAAGCAAAAATCTGTTGGTTTTTTTTTTTTTCCTTCTTTCCATCCTGCCTCCTTTCTTCCCTCAGATTTATTTATCAAATATTTATATGCTTGCATCAGTGAGCACCTGCAGCACGAGCTGTGGGCCTACATTGCCACTTAGAGCACATTGCAGTGAGATGATTGCCTAATTGGCAGTGTCCAGCTGAGATGGAGCAGGGACAGGACAGAATGTCCAGATGAGTGCTTACCAACAGTCAGCCTCAGGAGTGCAGCAGGTGCTAGCTCCAAGAGGGATTTGTACTTCATTTTGAAATAATGCATACAGGAATACAAAAGCTGTTTTAAGTGAAGACAGCAAAAGTTTTAATCACTGTTTGTGCAGATTTCAGGGTAATACGTAGTTGATGATGTAATACCAGTTCCTATTCTTAGTTTTAATTTCAATGTGGTATTTAATAAATTGCTGCTCTCAAATAAAGCTTAAAAATGTGAATATTTTCATTCTGACTTCTCTGCTAATGTAACGTAGTTGCAGTTTTATATGGTATATTTTAAAACTTTTCTGTGAAATATTTCTAATACAATGCAGATATGTTCTTAATAGCAATTATTTTGTAGTTTAAGTACTTTTAGTATAGAATTGATGGACTTTATTTTATGCCCTAAATCAAAATTCAGTAATCTTTCTACTGTTCAAGAAACACTTAACTATAAAAATCCTTTTCTAAAAGGAAAAGGTGTTTATAATGCCTGCTGCTTTCATACTGGTTGTAAAATCTCAGATGGGTGTTAGTTGTACTTTATTCATTATAAATTGAAGGTTAATATGTGATGCATGCAGCTTGTGCTTCTTAGTCAGGAAATGTTTACTAATAGTCCAAGAACATGGAATGACAACTTGTACAGAGAAAGAAATGTGTGATAGTGTGGAGTTTTTCACCTGACTGTTCAGAATTATTGAAACTGAAATGAGTGGATGTGGTTGCATTTTTGGAAATAGCTGTTTCATTCACAGGGAGTGAGCAAACTTGAATTGTGCTTCTCTAGGAATAATTTCTCCCTCGCAGTAAAAATGATGTTTGCAGTTGTCTGACAAGGTATTGCTGCTGACAGAAGGATAAATGGTTTACTAATGACACTTCAGACCTATTTACATGCTTGAATGTGTTTGAATGCTTTCAGTGTGTTGAACACTGAGGATCTCTCTTCCTTTTTTCCAGCAAGACCTCATGACTTCTTTGATGCACAAACACTGGATGCTATAAGACATCGAGCCATCTGCTTTAACCTCTCAGCACATATAGAAAGTTTAGGAAAAGGCCACAGTGTTGTATTTCATAGTACTGTAAGTATATATATGATGAATTCTTTTTGTTTACCTCTGTGTCTGAAAAATCCAGTCTTTAAGAAATATTTCTGTTTTCCTCTTACTGCTGTAGACATTTAATCAGAAATAAGCAATAGTGGCTCTTTAGTGTTGTTGAGCTGTCCACTGTTAGTAAACAAACTTTTAAGAGGTGTTGGTGGTAGTTGTTCTAGCTCACAGACTGAGTGGATTGCAGCATTTACTGTTTGATCCAGTTGGGGAATATCTGACAGCAACTTTGTGTTGCAGAAGAAAATTGGTTCTTTCTTCTAAATAAGAGCACAGTTCAGATGGCATTTCCATGGTCATGAGTGACAGTGGTCATTTATCACAAGAAGTATTTTTGGTGAATAATTGAATATATTAAAGATGCTGATGTGAAATATGTGTTTGTTCCCTTTTTTCCTCCAGTTTAAAAGATAGAATCTTGAATAAATTTATTCTCATCATCCCCATTTTTCTTTGAATAAACTCACCACCAAAATATTGGGGAATTGCTGGAAGGAGGCAAGAACCAAGTGGGGAACTTGTGTTTGGATAGGAAAGACATCAGTATTAATCTGGAAGAGTTTAAAGCAGGGATAAAATACTGAATTGGGGTAGAAGGATCAGAAGTTTAAAAAGTTGAATAACCTCAGGTTTTCTTAAGCATGTTGGGAGATGAGTGCATGTAAAAGATGGAGACTTGGGTGAAGAAAATAGGTAAGAGATGGGACAAAATGAGGAGGGATGGTTTTAAATTGGTAGAATAGTCAGACCAGGAGTTCTGGCTGACAGGTCTTCAGCTACAGCTTTATCTTGGTATGGGATTCAAACTCTTGAACTATCAGTCTCTTTCCATAAATAAAAGATGATTTTGTGTGCATGAAGCTTATTTCACCTTGTTCTGCAAGACTGATGATTGCTCTGAATGAATACCTGTGGCCTGTGTTGGAAATCTTTTCCAGATTATTTCTGCTGAACTTTATGTACATTGTGCACCAGCTGCAAGTGGAGCTTGCAGGTGGCTTAGCTGTTACTGTATTTAAATCTCATTCTAGTTTCCCTGGCCAACGTGGATTTTACAGTGCTGTGAGAAAAGTATTCTTTTCAAATTCACAGCTTGCTTTAATCTGAAAGGTGATCCAGGCAGTCTGCTCTGTCGTGGAATAACAGCTCTGGCTATTGGAATAATTCGTAAGGAGGTGGAATTAGAGGGAGGAATCTGCTCTAAAACTGCTTCCCATGAACTTGAAGGAAGTTGTGAAAATCGTTGTAGCTCATCTGTGCGTGTGTCACTCGAGATGGTGGGAGGTTGATTACACCTGGAATTGCTGAGACCTCAGTTGTGGGAGAGCTGCTCTGTGGTTCCAGCCCCCTGCTGCTCTTGGCTGCTGTATTTTGGGGTGCTGGCTTGTGCTGGACATCAGCTTTGTTGATGAGACTTAGCCTAAAAATCACCTTTAAAAAGAAAAGGTAGGCAAGAGGCTGTTTTGTGGACTGCTACACTGAGCTAACCTCAGGTACAAACACTCATTTTGCATCACTTAAAGGCATTACACATGAGATTTGAATGGTAACTGGCTAAATGGCACAATAAGTTTGTGTGGTCCACCTTCAGATGAGGATAAAAGGCGTAATTAACAGAGACATTAATTTGGAAGGTGGAAAACAGGAAGATGAAATTGCCATGCTGTCTGAAAAGAGACATAAATGATGTGGCTTTATTGTTGAGAATAATGTCAGCACAATGCAGTATATTTCAGGGCAGATATTCTAATATAAAGAATTTCTAAGCAGTCACTGTGGATACCTTTCATGTTCTCTGAAAAGGCACATCCTTTCATTTACATATACTTCTTTAACACAACCTTTTCTTTTAGATATGGGGAGATTTAGAATGCAGTTATTATTAAGACCTTTTTGAAGAAATGTGCTTGCAATCCAATACACCTTTGACTTGATTGTGGTTTTTTCTGCTTGCTTTTTAAAAAATTCTTTGTATTTTAATTCTCCGAATTAATTAAAATCTAAAGTAAGGAATAAATAAAATCTAAACTAAGGAACAGAGATTACACTGATTAAAAAATGTGACTTAGAGGTTACCCTGTCATGCCAACCCCAGTTTTGAAGCGGCTTGAATTAATTCTCTGAAACATTTGAACACTAAACTGTTCCCTGGTTTTAGCTTTTTTTAGGTATTTTAGTTCAGTGGCCACATGTATTTTAACTAGTTACATAGTTTCATAATTGAAACCTTGTAAGCAGTAAATGAATCCACTGAGATGCCTACCAGTTTACAGTGTGAAATTGTTTTCTTTTTCCAGAAGAGGTCAGCAAAACTCCATGTCTGATTTGAGACCACTTTGATGGATGTTTGCTTGGAATTTCCATTTTGTTTCTGGGGCACTGCAGGAAATGTAGAGAGCGTAGTAAGAATATTTCCAAATAAAGCTGTATTAAGTGGACATCTGCTGGCTGAATTGTGGTTTTCACTTAAAAACATAAATGGATTTAAGTTCTTTGCAAAACAATTTTAAGTCTTCAGAGCATGTTTATTGCAGACACACAACTTTTAAGGAGTATAACAGTTTGCTTTCTATGAATGTCTAGTAGGACATGAAGAACAACAACTTTTGAGAAAAAAAAAATCTGTAATTTGGTTTTAATTATGATTTTGCAATTATTATAGGTAATAGCTAAAAGAAAAGAAGATTCTGGCAAAATAAAACTCTTGCTTCATTGGACACCAGAGGACATGTGAGTATATTGCTAGTGATACATTTTAAATGGGGAAGGATTTACTGTGGGATCAGTGAACTGTTACTAAATTATTTTGTGCCTCTGAATATTTGAGTTAAAGTTAATATTTTAAAAATGCTTTTCAGAAAGTAAGAAGTTTAGAAATTAATAAGCAAAAGGTTTATTGATTTTTACTTTCACTTTCAAGTCTTTGGGCTGTAATACCAGTTCAGTTAAATTTGTATCTTTATTTTTAATGCATTTCGTCACAAGTTTCAATTCATCATGAGAGACAGGAGCTAAAATATTCTTCTAAAATAGGCAGTTTTTTGATTCCTTCTAGAGCAGATGGTAATATTATATCTAACAGCATTCTGAATTTTGTCTTTTTAAAATTAATACAGATTATATAATTTTACAGATAAAGACAGTTAATTTTATTCTAAGATAAGCATTAAGTAGTATGCAACACTGGGAACATGAAAAATAAAAGAGTAAATTTTTTTTTTAATACAGAGTTGAGTGGTTTTTTTGTTTGTGCAGGTGAATTCAGTACTAGAATCTCTGCATTGGAGAGAGGTTGTTCAGTCATGTTAAGACATTCCCAAGGGAATTTAGATTTGGTTGGTCAGGTCAGAGAAAAAATATGTTTTGTATTGCTGTTTGCTGCATCTTGGTTGGCCTAGATGGGTTAGACAGAGTGGGTATTTCAGAATGATGTGGTTTTGATTTACTGAGTATTCAGTTCATCCTGATTATTCCGTGTGAGCACAGGAGATGCCGAGGTGTCCTGGCACACACCCTCAGTCTGTGTTACTGTCAGGGCACTCACACTTCAGAAAGCAAAATGCACTCAGGGTTGTTCCTTTCCACTGGCCTGAGCTGCTCATCAGCCTTCCCCGTGGAGCTGGGAGCAGTGATTTAGCTTCTAGGCTGAGCAGAACTTCAACTTCCACACTGAATCCTCTTGAGAAACTGCCCAAGTTCCCCAGGATGTCCATATGTTCAGAGTTTTGGTCAGCAAAAGTAAATACAAGTCTTGAAGTAATCTCCTCTACAAGAGGAAAATAACTTTTAGTGGGCTGGGAGGGTCGGGGTTGTTTTGTTGGTTTTGGTTTTTGTTAAGAACAGGAATTTATTTTCAGTGCCAGTAAATCAGCTCACTGACTTGTTGTCTTTCTGGATATTTCAAATCTCTGCATGTGAAAAATTTTCTTTTTTGCTGTTTGTATCTTGAGCATACAGTTGCTACTGAAAATGTCTTCCCAATGTTGGTTGTCCAAAAAGTGATTTTTGGCTTTATTTAAAATACTTCTATGATATTTTTCCACCTTTCATGATCCATGAGATTTAGTGAATAAATGGATTGCCTGTTGGGTTCTCCCTCCCCTTCTGCCCTGTTGTTTTAAATTTTTTTGTTCCTCCTTCATCTGAAAGGTTTAATTGGAGAAACTCCTTTTCCTGCTGGATTTCATTTCATGTTTTGAATAGCTTACCCAAAAAATTCAATTTGAGTTGCAGCTAACTTTTCATGCAAAGTGAAATCTTTGCAAAATACAGATTCAGTGACATAATTGGCAAAAGTCTGTGAAATTTGGCTTTGCAGAGGAAGAGCAATTACATTTAGTTTTAGATGTTGGGCTTCTGAATTTGAAACCTGTTTCTAAGACTTAGACACCTTTATTACAAACTCCTCCCCCAATGTGAAGTTACTCTTTGGTTTCTAGGACATGTAGAAAATTTTTAAAACCCCACCAAAAACCTAAAGAGGATAATCAAACAATTAACTTCAGCAAAGTTGGAGCATTTTGTCTTTGAAACCTTTGAGCATGGAGCAAGCAAATTAGTATAACTCAGTGTATCCTGTCCTTTAATTGAACAGAATCAAGGAATTTCTGCCTAGTAAAATAAATTACTTTTTAAAGGTCTGGTTGTTTTTTGTGTTACCCATTTTCACATTAAATTGTTGCTATGGAGAATGTAGGGCCATTATCACTGGAATATACTTCAGGAATATACTTCTGGAATAATGTAAATTCTCTTCAGTGTCTTTTCAAACTGAGAACCTGAAAAACTTCAAAGTATAATGTGTAAAGATTGGCTGCCTTTCCTCACTCTGGTGAAGATGCTTTTTAACCAGGGAAATGTGAATTTTGCTTCATGTGTACTAGTTTACCACATAATGTTATGGTAAGAAAAACAGTTGATCTTTTTTGAATATTTTTATTTTATTTATTTATTCATAGTCTGCCTGATGTGTGGGTAAATGAAAGTGAGCGACATCAGTTAAAAACTAAAGTAGTTCATTTATCAAAACTACCTAAAGATACTGCCTTGCTTCTGGACCCAAACATTTACAGGTAACATCTTCATTTTGTAACTTTCTTTACTTGAATGTAATCTTAAGCCTCACTTAACTTTTTGACGTTGGAAAATCAGGATTGCTAATGTATTATACACCAGATCAAGGAGCCTTGGTACTGTAAACGTCCAGGAGTTAAGTTCTGAGGTCTTAAGTTATTTCAGAATTACTTCTTGAACTAAACTCTAGTGACTGAGAAACGGGGAATGTGTGTATTTACCAAGTGTATTTTACTTTTTTGTGCTTGGTGTACAGAAATTCTAGTAAAGGAGGTACATACAGTGGAATCCTGAAAGATCACTTCTGTTAAGATCACATACTGGTTTGTATACCAATTTTTTTAAAGTCCAAATTTATCTTTCCATATTATATTCAGCTGTAATACATGCAGTATTACCTTGAAACTTGTACTTGTGTTCAAGTACTGTTATTTTTTATTACAAGATTCTTTATAGGGGGACAAAAGGGAACAATCCATGTTACTTGTCTTTAAGCTACTTTCACATTTCTGTTTTTAGGCCCTCAGATTGGCTTCTAATCCATCTGGTTTCTAATAATTTCCTGATTCTCCCCCCACCCCTTTATTACTGCTCTCCCACGATTGTCAGTACCCACAGTTCTGTGTGTACAGTTTTTAAAGGTAATCTGAAATGCTTAATTCATTCTGAAATTTTGGGCATCCGTAGATCCATATGTGATTATATTAAAAATCCATGAAAATGGCTTTTGGAAAGGAAGTTTATCATAGCAGAAGTTCAGTGTTCTGATGTTTCTTCATTAATATCCAAGTGACCAAGAGTCTCAAGGAGTAAATGAAACACTAATCTGAGGTCTTTGAATGCAATAAGCCTTTCAGTTCACCTTTAATACTCAGTGTATTTCACTAATCAAATTAATGAAAACTTGCTTTATTATATGAAAACAAATCCTACTGTATTTGCTATCTTTGTAAATGTGTTTTAAGTACTTAGCTTAGTCTATGAATCATTGCTATTAATGGTAAAATCATAAAAATGTTATGGTGAGATTGGATTGTGTGTTTTAAAACTGCTTAACACAGTGACTTTTATAATCTATTGAGGTGTTAATAATTTTATATTGATTACCTTTGCTAAGCTTGATAGATTAGTTTGCTTTGAAAAGAAAAGAATTACCTTTTAAAATAAAAATATAATGATCTCTGGATTAAACCCCTGGAGAAAAATTAGCAAACCTTTCTATCTCTCCCAAATAAAATTAAGGTCCCCACATGTAATGTTGTGCTCTATTTTTAGCAGTATGGATCAGTCTGTGATTCAAATGAGCTTTTGGGACCAGCTGAGGGAGCTTAATGATGTAAATTTTAAAACCAAGACTTCAGAAGCAGACTTTAAAAACCAAAATCTCTTTTCAAGAGGAAAGGGTAGTTAAAGAAATTCAATGGCAGTTATTAATGTCATGCTAAAATGTCATGCTTTAATAGAAAGTCTGAAATAATTATCTGAAATGTGCACTTTGGTGAGATCATGTGAAATGGCTCTTGGTTTTAATCAAATGCAAGTAGATTTGTATAGTCATGATTTCATAGTGCATTCAGCTGACCAATGTATACATCACAGGGCCTTAATGTAAAGCTGTACCATCTTCTTTTACAGAACAATGCCCCAGAAGAGGTTGAAGAGGTAAAAACCAAGCAAGTGGGGACACCTGCAGTCTTAGTCACTGACAATGGATTTAGAAATAAAGTTGCACATTAGTCAAATCCCATCTTTTTTTTTTTTTTTTCTTTTTATTATTTTTTTTTCTTTTGGTTTCTTTTTTTTTTCCCTTTTTTTTTTTTTTTTTTTTTCCTTTAATCCTATCAACGATATGAAATATTTATGCTTAGTGTAAACATTCTGTGAATGAAGTTGATGCTTCCGTGGAATATATTAATATATTACTGTATATCCACATTTTCATGGAATGGTACAGTGGGAGACTGAGCAAACACTCTTCTGGCAACTTAGTGGAACAACTAAAAGGCTTTGCATGCTTGCTTCTTTAAGCTGCTTTTTTCTTTAGTGAATACAGTAGTCTATATTTGATGAAAAGAAAAAGTAACCATCACCATTTCCTCCCGATTCCCAGGAGAACTGTTAACAAGCTATTGGGCTTCCTGTCAGTGTTAACTAAACCTAACACATGCCAGACAACAGAACAGCTACCAAGGGATTATCCTGTTGCCCTTTGAGTATGGTGGATAGTAATCATTCGTCATTTGTGATCTTGTGTCCTTTTGCAGATCCCTAAAATATGTTGGATTATGGTGTTGAAACAAACGTTGATGGAATGCTTGTCTTTTCCAGTCAACTCTGAATACGTATAGTACGGTGGCAGGATGTTCAGAGTGTTGCAGTCTGTCTGACCCCTTTGCAGGAGTAGTGTAGTGTGTTCATCAGGTCTGCTTTGGTGTGATCCGTGTCAATGGACGGGTTTGGGAAACCTCGGTGTAAGCAGTCAGTGTTACTGGTGATTTTTTTTTTTTTTTTGCTTTTTTGACCCTCTAGGATCCCCATTCACTTGTAAAGTATACTTTATTTGGCCTAATGTTTTCTAGCTGTAAAGAAAATGGTATTTTTTAAAAAAAAATTAATCTAGAAATTCAATCCTTTATGCACCAAAGTTGGCTTTGAAAAGGAAAGTAAAATCATTTTCTTGCTTAATAAGCAAGGAGCCGTGGATTTTTTTTAACTGACAAATAGAGATGCGTCTAACCTGTTAGTCTTTGTATGGAGACAAAAATGTTGCATATAGATAATAGGACATTGCTTGTAAATATTTCAGCAGATTTGTAATATATTTTTATATTATGAAATGTACTGTAGATGTTTTTCTAGAGGCATGAAAGTTAAAATGTATATATTACGGTAGAAATAATATTGAAGGATATTGTAATTCACTAGTGCTGCCAGAAGAATTGTTTTAAAAAAGCACCTTCCTTAACAGTAAAAAAAACCTTCTTTTACATACCTAAGGGACTATATACTACTGTTAATATCTGTTGTAAGAACAAAAATACATTGAACATCCTTCCCAGAAATCTTAGAGGGATGAATAGTACCCATAATTAACTCATGGCACTCCTTTCTAATAGTGAACACAGAATTAGTTTTTTCCTTACTGTCGGAAGGAACTAATATGTAAAATTTGTATGGATATATGCAGTCAAACTGCAGAGTTAGTCCTCCTTATTGGGGAGGAATTTACTACAGTGAAACTAATAACCAGCAGTTTTTACACTAAATTTTTATTAAATAGATTAAGACTTAAAGTAACCCTTTGGTTGCAGAAGTGAGCACATCCTAATGTAATACAAATGCGTTCTGCATTGGTACTGACACGAGTCTTGCTTAGCTCCAGTGGGTTAAAAATGTTACTTATATACACAAAAAATAATCCTATCAACGATATGAAGTGCAGATTAAAAGCACCACTAATATAAGATGTTCTGGAATGGTTGTTTAATAAGGGTATTATTCATAAAATCTGTAGTGACGTGACTTTATTTTTGGAAGAAATGCAGTGTTTTGGTTTTTTATTTTTTTGCTTGAGCACTTCACCTACTGCTTTTTCTGTACCTATAAAGTAATCCGTAATCTTTGTTTCTTTTTTTTTTTTTAATTTGTTATAAAATTGCCAAATAGAAGTGTTTCAGATATAGTTTGTATTTGTATTTTTTTAATTTTATTGCTTCATGAGTTTCTTGTAAGTCATTTATAATTGACAGATGATTGTAGACCTTGCCTGAGTATTTTTTCTAATAAAACAAAGCAAACAAACCTCATAAGCCTCAAAATTGTGCAATTTCGATGGAGTTTTCAAAACCAAATATAAAAATGATGCTGTTTCCTCTGTAACTTGTAACACACACCTTTACAGAAGGGGGAATTCATGGATTCAAGTAATGTGGTATTCATGTAAAATGTGACTTCTGGGTTTGAGAAAACTGTTACCTGGTGTTCTCATGGCAGAGTTTCTGCTTTGGAAGGAAAAATCAGTTTAAATAACAAACATCTGTGAAGAAATGGATACACTGGAGTTAATTAAACTTTCCATGATAGTCAAAAGGTAAGTGGACATTTGGCTGGGGTTTACTTGTAGTTATAGAAGTGAATTGCTAAAACTATTCATGCTTGAAAGTTATTTGCATTCTACAAATTTTGGAATTACTTGGTGGTGTTTTGTTTCAAATGCCAGTCTGTTCTCTAAAGCTCTGCTGCAGTTTTTTGTGTGCCCCTGGGTGGATTTCACTTTTGTTGGAATACCAGGTAGGTAGAACTGCCACTGTGTGCTGGGGGGCACTGATCATGGTTTTTTTTTTTTAAATAATCTTATTCTTACTCTTGAACAGTGTTTCTGAAACAATTGGCCTCTCCCCTTTTAAGTAATTCCATGTGCTTTGTTTTGGGCTGTTTGGGATGTAACCTTTAAAGGTTTCTCCCTGTCTTTCTCCAGAACATTTTTTTTGTGTTAGGTTTTCCAGACATCTACAGATTGCATTCCCTCCCAGCTTGAGTGTTTATTTTCTTTGTAGAGAGATGTCAGCTCCTTGAAAGTCACACTTTTCAGGAGTTGCAGTGCACACAAATATCTGTATTCAAGCTCCAGTTCTTTTGGAATGTGCTGGCTTGAATGGTGCACTTTTGTAAAATGGAATAACAGGATTTTGGAGCGAGGGATTGTGTTTTGGGCTTGAAGACCAGCTCTGCCTGTTGCTTAAGTGCATGGAAATTCTTGTCTGGGAAGACTTGCTGGCATTTGGGCATAGCACAAATTGTTTGTTTGATACTAGATCTTACTCTGTTTGCTAATGCACCTTAATAATCTGTTTATTAAACACGGAGCAGAAACAAATTGGTAGTTTTCTTGCACTTGCTTTGAATATAATTTTCTCAAGTTACTGTAGGTCTTTCAAAATCTTTCAGATTTTGGCCAAAATGTGCAATAGAGGCTGCACTATATTTTTCCTCTATAGTTGATGAAGTAATTATATAAAATTGAATTTCTAATTGAATTGCACATTAATTCTGGACCAGCTTAATCTGGAACAAACAGGTGAATTGTGTTCAAACATACATTGGTTTTAATAATTGAAATTCAAGTGGTTGATTTCTGTGCCCTTCAGCTTTTCAGTGCTGTGTATGAATTAATGAATGCAGAACACTGGTGTTTAGTACTGCAGTCTGAAATTGATGGTTTACTTCCACTTGATGGTTTACTTCCACTTAATGCTTTCCTGCCTTGACATTTAGGTGAACCTATTCTAAGTATTCCTCTTGTCATGTTAATGTATGACAAGTACAACAGAAAAACAATCCTATAATAGGAAAGTTGGCCATTGGTGTTTGTTTATTCCAACCAAAGAATATTCCAGTAAACTTTGTTGAATCAGCTTTTATTAAAAAGTCTGTATTATGTTTTGGGGAAGGGGGAGATAAGCACCACCTGCACTACTGCTGTGAGCAACACAAACCCTTAAAGTTGTTTAATTTCTAATTTCTGAAATTACTTAAAAAGAGGTACCAGTTCTGATGTACAGCAGCTTGCTGTCCTTTCAGGGGTGATGGCAGGATTGGGAGTTATTTGTTATTCACAAGGCTCTGGTGCTGAGCTGTCCTCATGGGGTGACCCAGCCCAGGAGTCACTGTGATCTTGGCTGCAGACTTGGATAAAGAAGGGAAGAAGGAGATGTTGCTGTGAGTTTGGTGGCTGTTGGAAGGTTGAGAATTCATGATTCTGTGCTCAGCTCTAGAATGGAAGGAACTGTAGTCTAGAGATTTAAGGCTCATTTCCCCTTCTCTCCCACATACATCCGTGCACTCACCTCTAACTCTTACCTAGAGAAGAGTTAAAATCAGGATGTGTCTGATGTCACAACGTAACTTAGAGTGGAGTAAGGAAATGTAGTTCTAAGAGTAAAGAGAATAAAATTGTGTTGATTACATACAAAAAGTGGGCTCTTGGTTGTCAGCCAGTTGTGGATCAATTCAGGTCCTCCAGTTGTTTGTGAAGATTAATGTGCTGTGATTGATGCTACATTATTTGTTTTTCCTAAGTCTGAAACTGGCCCTTTGAACTTTTGTAAATTGCCCTTGGTAGTAAAGCAACAAATACTAAGTAATATGATAAATCTGTTTATTTCTTCCCAAATGAGAGATAATTGCTGATAACATCCCCTTGGCTTGGCTTGTGTACAGGAGATTTGAGTCGTCTGTTGGATATGCTGTTCAAAAGAACTGTCAGATTTTAATATCCTTGGTGTTTTGCCTGTGTTTGTAGCCTCAGTGGAAGATGAGAGATCCCCACAATGATTTACTGTGAAGAACTGCCTCTGGTTTGAGACAGTCAGTAGCCTTTCTGACTAATCAATGGCTACTGTCTGCCTCAAAGGGTCAGGCTTGGAGAAAAAGATCAACTTGGAGACCTTGTGAAATGATGACAGAATATCCCTGTGGTCAGTTGGGTCAGCTGCCCTGGTTCTGTCGTGGGCACCCCCAGCCCACTCCTTGGCAGGGCAGCATGAGAAGCTGACAAGCCCTTGACTGAGTGTAAGCTCTGCTCAGCAAAAAGTAAAAAATCAGTGTGATACCAGCACATTTGTCATCCTGAATTCAATTGAATTCCCCATGCACACTCTGAGATCTCCTTTTTCTCAATGTCACTGCTCAGTCACGTTTCTTGGCTTGTTTCATCCGTGAAACGTTGTGCCTAAGCTCAGGTGGCTCAGTGGGATTTGCCCAGACATATGGAGTCTGACCAATGCCTCGTTGATTTTAGAGGACATTGTTATGGATATTTGACTTGTCTACCTCTGTTCAAATCTCCTGTCTGAAACCCAGATTGTGAAATCAGGGGGAATGGAACACGATGTTGCTCGTGATTCATTTAAGCCAAAATGCTCAACAAGAGCCACTTAAACGTGTCTAGGCACTGAAATATATGTTTGGATTTACATAATTTCAAGGCAAAAAATTAGTAAATGTATTGTTTTGGGAGCAAAGCCTTGGAATGTGAGATTCAAGACTGCCCCTAAGCAATAAAAGCATTTTAAACAGTTCTAATTTTAAACACTTTGCAGCTTTTACTTCCTAGTGAAGGCAGGGGCTTGGACCCTGCTTGCTTTTTCTTTCTTCTTGCCATAAATATTCTATCCTAGAGCATGAAAAATAAGTCAATTACACTTGAAACTGTTTATTGCAGAGCAGATGTGTGCACACAGCAACTGTAGCTGAAAGCCCAAGTATTTAATTAGCAGTTGCCTGCAGCTGGATTCTTTCTTTTTAAACAAGTGAGGAGGTAGGAAAGCAGAAAAGGATGTCAGGAGACATTCTGCTGACAGTGAGCAAGTTCATGTGTAAATACTTATTAAAAAGTATTTTTAATAAGTATTAAATTTTCCTCTGCCTCCATCCTCAGAGCCATCATGTGGTGTTGCTGCCTTTTCATTGTGCTGTGCAGCCATCAGTGAATTCCGTGTCCTCGCTGCCCAGACACCTGTGCTGCCTCAGTCAAGTAACATTTGATGGGCTTCTGTGGCCTTAAGAAAGATCTGAAGATGGATCTGAAGGTTTTCTAACAATCCTGTGCTCGTCTGGTAGTTTTGTTGTGGCTGTTCGCTCTGCTGTTGTTGAGAGTTCACCATTGATGTGGAGACTGAAGATTTATGTTATGGTCAGAGCTCAGAGTGGGGACAGACTTTGCTCATGGGCAGAGCTGTGTGGATTTGCTGCTGGAGGTGTCACACAGGCTCTACAGGTCAAATCCATGGTGGTGCTAGTTCTTTGTGTGGTTTGCATCTCATTGACTAGTTACAAACAGCTTTTAAAATGGGCAGATGCAGATTGTAAAAATTTCAGAGAGCTGGTTTGTGGATAAAATGTGGCCTCTCTATTAAAATAAGCTGCATTTCTTTTTGTTCAGAAGTGAATTGCTGTGGAGGAAAGGTGCAAACAAAAGCTTACCTTGGCTGATGCCTCATCTGGATAATTACTACAAGCTGTACAAACTGCTCACAGTAGTTACTGATGTATTTATCTTGGACCGCCCCTTTTTTTAAATTCTTGGCTAAAATATTTGTTAATTTTAATCTTAGAAGGTATTTAATAATTTAATAACTATCACATGCATTCCAGTGGGAGCTGATTTCAGCAGTAGAGGATTCAAAGATGTGTTAAGCTGGAAGACAGTAAATATCAAGTAAATACCAAGACATGCAGCCCCACACTGTGCAGTTTACAGAAAGTACAAATTATGTTCCTGTCCCACCCCACTGTTCTCCCAGGTGCTCAGATCCCACACGTCACAGTACATTTCCACTCTCTGTGTGTTTTAGGATTAAATCTAATTTCACGACACTCTGTAACCAAAAGGTGGCAGCAGCCTACCACGCTAAACTGCAGAAATTAAAGTATCCCTTGGTGCTGAGACTGCTGAAGGTGTTTGGTTGCTTTTCTACACCAGTCTCCTTGTGTGCAGTTTGGTTTGTTGATACAGGATGCAGTTGTGTGTTAATTAACTGCGGCTCTCCTCACTGCTTTTCTGTTGGTCTGTGTCTCTCAGATGTTGCAGAGGAGAAGAGTTTTATCTTTTAATAAAACTGGCTCCTAAGACTGAAAATTCTTGAAACAAGTTATGTTATTACCCAAGTACTGAAAAGGTTGAACATTATCACATTTTGTAAACGTGTCTGGGTCATTATGGTGCTTGGGTACTTTCTTCTCTTTTCTTTGCCAGTGATGCCCAAGATTGCACATTTGACTGCCTGATTATTTTCCTAAAG